GGGGGAGTAAGTGAAGGGGGGAAGAGTAAGTGATGGGGGGGAGTAAGTGAAGATGGGGGGGAGTAAGTGAAGATGGGGGGGTGTTAATGTAGGAGGGGGGTGTAAGTGAAGATGGGGGGAGTAAGTGAAGATGGGGGAGTAAGTGAAGATGGGGGGTGTTAATGAAGGAGGGCGGTGTAAATGAAGGATGGGGGTGTAAATGAAGGATGGGGGTGTAAGTGAAGATTGGGGGAGTAAGTGAAGATGGGGGGAGTAAGTGGTGATGGGGGGAGTAAGTGAAGATGGGGGGTGTAAATGAAGGAGGGGGGAGTAAGTGAAGATGGGGGGGGGGGGAGAAAGTGAAGAGGGGGAGTAAGTGAAGGGAGGGAGTAAGTGAAGGAGGGGGGAGTAACAGAAGGTGGAGGAGGGGGAGTAAGAAGAAGAAGGGGGGTTTGAAAAACGGGGGGTAAGAAGAACAAGGGTGGAGTAAGAAGAACACAAGGAGGAGGGGGAGAGTAAGAGTGAGGAGAAGGGGAGATGAGGAGAAGGGGGGGGACTGAGAAGAACACAGGGAGGGTGGGTAGTGAGGAGAACACAGGGAGGGTGGGTGGTGAGGAGAACACAGGGAGGGGGAGGTGAGGAGGACACAGGGAGGAGAGGACACTACGCGCACACACACACACAATGCATCCCTACACACACAGAAACACAACATGCTTCCCTTACACACAGAGAAACACACAATGCATCCATTACACACAAACAATGCAACACTTACACACAAAGACAATGCATCCTTTGCACACATACACAGAAACACATAATGCAAACACTTACACACACACTGCTTTTCTTACATACACACAGAAACACAATGCATCACTAACACACACTCAATGCACACACTTACAGACACACACCTTGCATCCCTTATGCATACAAACACAGATTCACACAATGCATCCCTTACACACAACCAGAAACACACAATACATCCCTTATACACAAATACACACTGCTTCCACTACACACAAACACACTGCATCACCTGCACAAACTGGTATCCCTATACACTACATACCATAAGCACACATATTAGATCCTCTACAACAGGGGTTCTCAACCCAGTCCTCAGGACCCGCTACCAGTCCAGGATTTGGGGATTACCTGGGTGTGTCTCAGGTGTTTAGAAAAAGGGAAAAAAACACCTTAGACACACCCAGGTAATCCCTAAACCCTGGACTGGTAGGGGGTCCTGAGGACTAACGTTGAGAACCCCTGCTCTACAATAACACATAACACATCCCCTACACACTCCACTCCCTGTGAGCGAACTCATGGGTGGGTGGAACATATAAGTGGACTTATGAGTGGGCCTTGTGGGCATACTCACCGTCAGGCCCTGGGGCCCAGACCTTGAGCTGTGTAAGGGGCCCTCCCAAAAATGGAGCTGCTTCCAATTCTCCCAGAACATTGAATTTTGTGACCACAGTTGCAAACAGCCTCCAGAGATCCTGTTCTACACCAGACCAGTGGAGCCAAACTGCAGCCCATCATCATCCTCATTTGGTTGTAAGTAGGCAATCTAGTATATTATTAGTGACACTAATCTATAATTTTCATTACATTAAAGGGACACTATAGTCCCCAGAACGACTGGAGCTTAATGAAGTGGTTCTGGTATCTATAGCCGGTCCCTGCAGGCTTTTTAATGTAAACACACACTGTGGACAGCACTGGCGTTAGTTCGTATGGCAGCTCATATAGGTGGGGCATTGTGATGTCACATGGGGGGCGGCAAATACAGCTGTTCCCCATGCAGCCACAGGTGCTACTGTGCTGAGAGATTGTGATTACTCTTCACTTCCTCCCAGCTTACA